GGCAAGAGCGGAAGGGCGCAGAAAGTTGTATGTGGTTAGTCAACCTTTGACCACGGTAAGCGCGGAGCCTAAACGAGGTTCTTCTGGGCGCATAGGGTCGGTTTTCGTGACCTAATGGCGGCCGATGTTGTTGTTGCTAACAGGCGCTGGCCCAGTAGCTTAGGGTAGCTCGAGGGGATCTTGTAAATTACATGAAATGCTTCAGCGGGGTCCACACGATGTCCTGAATCCACTGTATGTGCACGGATGGCGCTGTCTATTCTCCTAGTTTCACCTTTTGCCAGCCATGCGGGAAGGTGCTCTCGTATTCTTTTGGAAAGGCGCCGACTCGTACGACCAATATAAGAATGGTAGTGCATCTTTCGGGAACCGTGACTGGGGTTTCATCTCATGTAAGCTCCTAAGAAGCGCAGGACTTTTGGCCTCTCCACGTTTTCTTCCTATAGACTGAATGTAGATGTCGAGTTCTTGTCTTTCTCCATCCGTCAGGATATCTAGGACGGCTGCGCGTTGACACACATGACGCTCAAGATAACAGATTGTACTTCAGGGAGGAGTTTCCGGGCGCTGCGCCTTATGTAGATCATGTGATTAATTTCAGCGGTCTAAAAGAGAAACACCGACACTCCCAACAAAACAACACATGACCTTTGACGTAGAAACATATGAATTAGGCGACATGATGTTGTCACTCAAGCAATTCGATAGGATGGACATGGGTGTGCCCTGTGAAATTGCGCGTTAGGATGGTAAGCCGTCATGTCATTTATAAAGTATTCGGCTGGACATTTGCCCTTAAAACGAGCTAACCGGTAGATGTGCTGGACCAACACGCAAATGGGCAGGCGTTATTGGGAATGTGCAATCATGACAAATGTTAGCAATGGGGGGATGGTGGTCCACCCAGTGCGGACCCACGCCGAGCCAGCTGGGATTCGAGTCGTCTCTCTTTCCTTCTTTGTTGTGTAAAATCCTGGTCACTTTTACGTTGTGAACCAGGTGGTACGCCTGGGTGCGGGCTTTTGCCGTGCCATCCACCTTCACCCTCCCCCGCCCCCGGTCTTCTCGACAGTGTCTTTGCATTGGGTCCAAGTGGGAGATGAGGAGATGGTGCGACAGATTCAGCGGAAGTCCGCCACCATGATAAAAGAAATCACGCGCAAGTCATTGTCCCTGCTTTCACCCGGCTGTGGTACATACAAGGGACATCGCCGGAGACAGCGGTCGAACTTTCGGTCGGACAGGGAAACAGCCATCCCTCTCCCCGTATTACGGATGGCCTTCAGATTCTCCCATGTTCCAAGCCCAATTCCCACCTCCGAAGGGGGGGGGGGGCGGTACCGATTTCCGTGTCCTGACAGTTATTTTGTGGATTTACTGATGACGTTACAGTAGTCATGTAAAAAAGAACGGCCGACGTACTTTACGCACTGTCTTTCGGGGAGCGGGACCGTCTTGCCGAAGCATCTTTGGGTGATGAGCAACTACCTGTGTTTGCATGCACGCATACGCTCATTGACTGTTCTAAAGGCGTGAGGCCGCAAGCTACTACTGCACAAATAGCCGTGGAATCCCCAGCGAATTAAATTACCGGGCCCTTGTGCGTGAGAACCGAACACACTGTGCTTTTGTTGTACTGTGCTACAAACGTCTGTAAACTTTTACACAACTCTGCTTAACACTACGCCCGCCGCCACCTAGTGGTTTTATTTGCGTCTTTTGATTTGACTGGCGTAAATAGCCCGAGGATACTAATCATATTCGTTGGAGGATAGACTCGTTTACATTGCACACATGGCAGTGCTACAGCCAATTTCGGAAGTAACTGCTGGACTGCACAATTTTCCTTACATCTCCCGATAGGCTTCCTATGTGGTCCGTCTTGGCTATCAACACAGGGGCGGCCTCGTCGAAGGCATAATTTACAATTATTTCGAGGACTAAACGAAGGTCGGCAAAAGAATAATGATTAGGAATGATTTGTGCAGGTCTAAACCCCCACAAGGTTGTAAGATGCGCGCCGTTAATCTCCTACCTGAGTTCAAGGATATCAGGAGCTTTCGCCAAGTGAAGTAACCCCACACCGGCGGGCTTAAGTTAACTGTAGTCCACCTTCGCATGGCCTCATAAAGGTCGTTCAATGCCTGGGGGGAGCCCTTTGGCAAACTCTCCGCCAGTGGCGGCTAACCTCTAACCCAGTGATCAAGGTCGTCCACAAGGTCACCTCGTTGCGTGTTCTTAACACGCCGGGATCGGCAACTGTTGAAGTACGATATTTAGAAGAGAGGTTTCCCCAATCGAAATTCGGTGAAACGGAGTTAGTAAGACAATCTTTACCGCACCAAGGGTGTGCACAATCGGCTCAGGAGGCAATGGCAGCAATTGTTCAACCGAGTTGGGTTTCAAGGTGTGTGCGTGCGTGTACCGGTGCCATTGCCGGCTGCGGGGGGCAAAAACATCGGTCGATGTCACGGTGCCGCCAAGCGGAGGGGTGAACCATACGCGGGGCAATCAGTCAACTGACAAGGGAGCTTGGTCGCTGACGCCCGCGCCGATTAGACCACCCCCAAACCACCTCTTTTTTTCGCCATCCGCAAATTAAGACTGGGTGTGCATTTTGTTTACTTCTTAGCTTAATTTAATAAAACTGACCAATACGCAAATTTTCGTCATCTTCTCCACGTACTTGCACCGTCAGTGCCAGATCAAGGGAGACTGATGAGGTTACTGTAAGTCGCGAAACGAAGTTGCCGCCGACTGGATGAACTGTACGGCACTATAATGGCCGTATCCTAAGTCACTGACGCCTATGTAGCGTGTAACCTTTGAGATATTGCGCCGATATCGACAAGTGAGTCAAAATATGTCTCACAAAACCAACCTGCTGGTACGTAATCGATGTACTCGTCATCAGTGTCCAAGGGGACGATTCGGTATATGATTTAACAGGCTTACTCTTGGCGGGAAAACGAACCTTAGTCTACTTCAAGGCATTGACAATAATTTGAAGGCTGCAACTCTAAGTAATCATCCATTATGTAGCGCGCTACGCACCGTTTTTTCAAGTTTTCATGCCTGTAAACTAACATTGACATTAATTGGAAATCGCTATCCGGAGGTGGGGATACATCATCGTTATTAGGGTCTAACAGCAATGTTCACTAATACTGTCTAATGCTACCTACATGACAAAGTAGCCATTTGCTTTGACTTACCCTGATAAACAACTGTTTGCGCACCACTAAGCACGGTTAACAAGTCATTAAGCTAGAAAGTAAATTAACAGTCCTAGCACACATGCCCTGGCTGAAGTGAGAATGTGAACGCCTCTTCGATCTATTCAAACAAAACCTATTTCAGCCTGATTTGGACTCCTCAAGCTCACCTACGCCTTCCGGCCCTGAGCCCCCCTCCCCCCCTCCCCCCCACGCACAAAATCACTTGATTGTCACTTCCGCGTGGACGGAGTGCATGCTCATTAGCTCTGGAGGCAGACCATTGCAGGCGCCTGCTAATTCAGGAATCAACCAACCAATACACCTACTGATCACGACTATCCCTCACGTAGCTCACCCGGTTAGCCATTCGCCCTCGAAATGTCTTGCTTACACTTACTTGAGATTAAGTGGAGAGATTACAAATAGCTGGCCACGTCCACACAATGGCCACCCGTGAGATGTGCTGAACCAACGCGGTGGCTAGATTAAGGCTTGGCACGCGTGACCAGGCTTCGCAGAGTCTGTGCATCCCGCAGAAAAAGACCACACATGGAGGGGGTGTGCTAGCACGCCTAGGCGCGTGTCCACGCCGCGCCAGCCACGTGCGCCCAATCGCAGTGTCAGACGGTCGGCCGGTTCGGAGAGCAGACTGGGGCATGGCAGAGGGAAGCGAGAATGAGGTCACCTCTGGAGAATTCATCTTCACGACACTTCAGCTGACGAGATAACTCGGTCAGTCTGCAATGGCTCCTTCCTAATATGACCTCTGTGGCATTCCCAGTCAGCTTTCTTTGTTTCAGTAATAACCTGTTTCCTCATCGACGAACCAGGTCGTGTGGTACGCGTAGGCGGCCTGTTTAGTCTTGTCAACCACCACGTCCAAGCTCACCTCCAATCGTCATGGCTCCGTTTCGCGACCATCCCCGGTGGGTGAGGGATGAGATAGTGCAGTAGGCGCTTCTCAAGTCTGCCTTGGCATGAACTAATTCACGCGTAGGTCGCCGTCTGTACTTGCTGGATTAGACTAGTCTTCGTCGGTTTAAACAGTACAATGTATCCTACTCTGGACTTGCTGACGACTATACGAATACTTGTGATATTTCATTTTTTTTTTGAAGAAGAAGAAGGGCTCACCGGAACAAGTTTACTTAGATGCTGACGTTTCGAAGAGCTTGGTAGGCTCTCCATTGTCAAAGCTTAAAATGCACTTAATCGACCAGGAAACCCAAGTGGCATGTCACATTGGTCGGCCTCCTGCTGATCGATTATTCTCTCCTCTCGCTGCCTCGGCCTCTCAGGGGCTGGTTGACGGGCGTTTTGTCTGCGTGCGTTGTGAGACACCACTCCGTCGGGGAGAAGATGATTGAACCGGTGTCGGGTGGTCGGTCTGGCGGTTCTTGCTCTTCTTCACCGAGTAAACTCGCCGTCGGGCTGTCTCCGTATGGCCTTCTTAAGTCCGGTGTGGTTGTTTGGTCCTGAGCTCTACGATTGTGATGACGTAGGACTTTGTAATCAGCTGGAAGGTCCAGATGCCTGTTGATGGAGTGGACATTTGAGAACCACGCCTCGAAAGTTAGCCGTTCTGCTTTTGTGTTGCCCCGACCTAAGATGGTAGCTCCCTGGAGATCGAAAGTATGCCTAGTTTCTCCGACGTGTGTTGTTAGTTGAGAGTTTGGGTCTAACCTCCTAGTGGCCGATCTGTGCTCTTGTAGGCGAGTCTGCAATTTCCGCCCCGTTTCTCCCACATGTTTGCAGTCGCCCTCATTGCAATTTATTTTGTAGATGACTGCTGAGGTTTCGGCGGGTGTCAATGGGTCCTTAGGTTGCATCAGACGGCGTCGAATTGCTGCCTGGGGTCGGTTGGCTATGCCTACTCTGGCAGGTTGTAACAATCGAGGGACCGCCTCGGAGACCCCTTTGACGTAGGGAATAGCCCTCCGAACTCCAGGTTGCTGCTCGTTTAGCCGTCGCCTGCAAAGCCTAAAAGCAAACAAGGACATAATTATTCTGCCAGCTGACAAGGGACGTTCAAAAGTTGTGCTGGACAAATCGGATTACCAGAACAAGGTACAGGACTTAGGCGAAGACCAGCATTCCTACAAACAATGCCGTGCCAGCGAAATGAAAAAATCTAATCACTCGGATAAACAAAAGTCTAAGAAATGTCAGGGTCACGGGGCGACTACGTCCAACGACTGGTTCTCCATGAAACCCACTGACACCGCCACGGCTCGTTTTTACGGTCTATCGAAGGCATACAGGTCAAATGTCCCACTCAGGCCGATCGTATCCCTTCGCGGCACTCTGACGTACGGTTTGGCAAATTGGGTGTTCGCTCGTCTTAAGTTTTTGGCCGAAGGCTCACCAACAGCAGTAGCATCTGCAAACCAATTCCTCCAGCCTATAAAACATCTGAAGTTAGAGCCAGACGAATCCATGGTATCCTTTGATGTCTTTTCGCTCTTCACCGTACTTCCTTCCCCCCAGCTGGGCCCGATGTCGAAACAAATTCAAGAAGACCGGAGGTGAGAGGGAGAGAGAGAGATAGGGCACAAGTGGATGATACAGAAAATGAATCCGCACCTAGGCGTACCACCACGCTCCCTGGTTAACAAATATACACTGACCAGGATTTATTACCCCAAGAAAAGTATGGGGAGACTGCTTGCAACCTAAAATGTCACGGAAAGGACCTTCAACTGGACCTGTTGCAACAACACTGATCCACAATGCACACTGCCCAGGATTTAGACTCAAACGAAAAACAAGAGGATCGGCCGGCGTAGCCAGGGCCGCTCCTAGGCGTGCCAACATACCCTACTCGGATCCCACGGAGTGGGAATGCCATAGAGGTCATATTAGGAAGAACCCATTGCAGCCTGACTCTCAGTCCAGCAGTCTGCCACTCCACCCAAACACACTGGGCCGACTGGGAGGTCTAAGTTATCCATAAGCTTTCCAAGTCAGGTCAGAAAGAGAAGGATGACCGAAGTCACTGGGTAACCATGCGCACGGCCTGCATACCCACCGGGGCGCCAATGCGTCCACCGGCAGGGATTCAGGCCTTAGAGAATTGCCATCGCACACCAGGTTGCGAGGGCCATGGTTGCTGAAGCATGACAAATCAGACGCACATGATCTGTAATGTTTTCAAGGGTGAGACAGACAGCCCCGCATTTAGCCTAGACCACCACCCTTCAAAGGCCGGGTAACCACTCAGTCATCGACTGAGAGGCACTACCCATATAACCTATATATTGAAATACTTTAAGGCGGGCCGTTCGCGTCACACTGAAGAATTGCATTGGGAATGGGGTGCCCTCGTCGGCTAGAGCTCTTCAGGTTGCCCCTTGTGCAAGTCCGTATTACATGAGCCTACGCCTATCCAGGAGGATTAGTGATCACCCCCCAACGTGACTGAAAAAAGGACGACATTAGAAGGGAAAGCAGCACTACTCTCGCATAAGTGGTTGTTTCAGGCCATCTTGTGTACCCCACTAAAGCCTTCCGAGTGTCGATAGAAACGAAAAGGCGAGTTACATGATAAAGTTTAGAAGAAGAAGAAGAAGAAGAAGAAGATGATGATGATGATGATGATGATGATGATGACGATGATGATGATGATGATGATGATGATGATGATGATGATGATGATGATGATGATGATGATGATGATGATGATGATGATGATGATGATGATGATGATGATGATGATGATGATGATGATGATGATGATGATGATGATGATGATGATGATGATGATGATGCGATCGTTAGAACAAGAGGTTTATTAGTCTGACGTCTCGGATTCTCGCTCGAATTCATCATCAGAGACCATTGCAGGTAAAGGTAGTGGAGGCACAAAGAATACAGTATTTATGGGAAACAGTCACCACGCGACCACATATCGCATGCTATTGGCGGCTACACCATTCATTGCTAGGTGTCGTAATTGATTTAACAGTCGCTTTTTAGTCCGCACTTCTGCCGTTATTTGTCGAAACGCAATCATTGTTGTGGATTCTTGGCGTGATAATGACTCGGCAATTTAGTCTGCTGTTACTGGAATTGTTAATCCCCCCGCCCTCTCCGCGCTGGATCTGATGCAGCTGTGGAGAAAGCAACTGTGTCGAAGAAACTGGAAAATTACTCTAGGCGCGAATACCAGAACATGCAGCAGCAGCAGCAGCAGTTAGGAGAAATGACGCCAGCTCTCAAGTGGCGGCTTTCGGTACCCGGTCACACTTTCAAGTTTTAAGAGGCCGATATTCTCCAAGGGGTGATGGTCGTGTGAGCCGCGAGCTGCTTGGGTCAGGCTTTCCGGGGTCCCAGTCGATTAACAAGTGCAATGATCCCCCCGGCCCTATAGTATGTGCAAATACTTTACCTGGACATTAGAATGAGTCACGCGGGGAGGGCGCGGAAGATCGACAATTCCGGTGACATTGAGCCAGATGACCGAGTAATTATCACGTCAAGGACCCACAACGATGTTTACATTTCGGCAGCTAACGACTCGGGTGCGGACTAATAACGTCAGGATCGACCGCAGTCAGGCTAGGAAGGCCGGTCATGTTCGTACAGGAGTACTGCGCACTGGTCCCGTATCTACCATAGCCCAAGGTCACCTAACCTGTTAACGCCATCCACCCTCCCCCTTCTAGCACGGCTTTTCACAATCCTCGTCCCTATTCATCATAATGGCAGTGACTTGACTACATCGATAGTGACTGCCTCTAATTACCCCTTAATACTCCCCAGGTGCCATTAGTATGAAACGAGCATTACTCCATTTCTCTTATAATCCACAGGTTCTAATTGAGCCCGTTACCATATTAATATGCCAGTGGGATAACGATTCATCGAAATCAGACGTCTGCTCACCAATATCCTTTTGAAATTTGCTATGCTAACACGCTAGTGAATCATTGCATATTCGGCAACTGCCGAATACCGCCAAACGTCCGTCCAGATCTACTGCATTTCTCAAATCACTTATACAGTAAATGTGGTCGAAAAGGTTAGAAAGCGTGTACTATGCCAGTAGCAGCAAACCATGGCCCTCGCAGCCTGGTATGCGCTGGCAGTTCCTTGACACCTGGTTCTTTGCCGGTAGATGCGCTTGCGCTCCCGCTGGGTATGGGCATGGCTACCCAGTCATCATCCTTGTCCTTCTGACCCCTGTTGGGTGTTGTCGTTGGCGAAAAATCCCGGTCATTTGCTAAGTGGACGAAGGGGTGTGGTGGCAAGTCTAGGTGCGGCTCCGGCCGTGCCAATCACATGCGCCCGCCCCCGTCTCCGGTCTTCTTGACTCTGTCCTGACACCGGCTCCAGGTGGGGAGTGGGAAGGAGAGAGTGCGGTAGATGCAGTGCAAGTTTACTGCCCCTTTAAACTGATTCACGCGCAAGTCACCGTGCCCGCTGAACCTTGTTGTGTAGCACACAGTGGACATCGTCGGAATCGACAGTCGAACTGTCGCAGTGAATGTGCTATCTCATGAAATGTTAACCGAAATCCGGAAATGTGTTCTCGATACAAAAATTTTATTTAAGCAGGGTTGTGGCATTGATGATCGTGCGACAGGATCCTGAAATATTTCAGGCATTTGAACGGGCCCTTTCCGGTCATCTGCAAGAATTACACTCCGTAAAAATGACTACTTAATTTTTGTGAGTTTTCCTCATTAATGTTCGATGTCCTTATAGGTTAAGATGCAGTTTATAGAAGACAAGCACAACATATTCGTTCTCCTCCTCATTTAGCAGCAAACTACGTCTTCTATAAATTCTATAAACGAGGAAAGAGTACCTTCCGCAAACTCGCCCTCCGCTTCCGAGATCTCCAAGAAGTTAGTGCATCGTTTTCTACTTACGGAAGTTAAAACTTCAATTTTTGTCCATAAATTCAGCAGTAGTTTAGTGCCGAATCTCTCCGTGCGCCTGATTTGTCTCTTGGCCTCTTAGGGTAGCAGGACGTGGTGACCTACGGACAAAATCTTGAAACATTTAAGTTCTCCTTTAGCCATTTTACCCCGAACCTTTAAGATCGTTAATGGCATTGTCAAGCTGTGGGGCGGTGTCTCGTGAGAACAATCGATTTCTCGAGGTCTGACGGAAGTGAGACCGTCGTCTCGGGAGCTGAGTTCCCTTCCTCTCCCCCCCCCTCTCCGCCTCCCATCTCGTTTTCTCAGTTTTAGAACGAAAACACACCTGGGTGCGGTTTGTCTTGCGAAGAAGCATGTTCCACCGCGAAGCATGTCTTCATCCTCCACTCCCCTCCCCCCCCTCCTCCTCCTCCTCCTCCTCCATCTTCGAGGTATGATGGCCGGGTAGGTGAGTGGAAAGGACGTAATTAAAGCCTTCCCAGTTCTTTTCGACCCCGCCCACTTTAAAAGGCAGGGCGAGATGTTTTGAGCGCACAACCTCAGTCGGCATTAAACCTAGCTGCTGGTAAGTCCAGTTTCCGTTGGCTTCGCAATGCACATCCTCTTTTTGTTGAAATTTTCTCTCATTGGTCACCTCAAATGATGAACTTCATCAGTTCCAACCGCGGGATGCGAAGAGATTGCTCGGAGTCACTGACTCGACTGGTGAACATCGTTAAGTATCGATCGTAGGCTTTCGAAGGACCAAACTCGCACAGCTAGAAGTCGGTCTGCCTGTGGCAGATTTGAAACGTTAACGTTGACGAATTCGCTTTGAATATTCTGCCGACTGAGCTCTTATGGCCTAATAGAGGGACGTCCACCCATCGCGTTACAGGACATACTCGTCACATTGTACCTTGGGGCTCAATTTAGAACCCCGTCAGCGGACGTACAGTGACTAGTAATATAGACTGAATAACATTACCAACAAAGACAAGGTGGTAATTAAATGACTATTTCTGACTTATGAGCCGTCGTCAACCATTCATACACAAACGCAGCCTTTGTAACCCCCCGGGGCTCGAACACGCGTTCTGTTGGTAAGAAATTCATATATAATGTCCTTCTTTATCTGGCCGTCTAGGCCGGTAACCGATTTGTCTTCAGGCAAATTTACTATAACGAATTGTTCGTCGTCCGGTCAGAAAGGTTTTCAATCCACTCTCACGATGTTTGAATATGATAACGAAATAAGGGTAAATGTGTAGGTTATAATATCGAGATAATATATAAACAAATTGTTCGAAAGAAGTAAGTTCTTTGGTAAATACAACACAATTTATTTGCGAATTTTCGACTTTGGTTCCCCAAGTCGTCCCTACTCATAATCAAGTGTGCTAGTCAGTCATTACTGTGGGCTGGCAGCATGTTCTGATCGGCTAACGCCTTTTTCAGTTTTCCTTGAGGTTGTCCACACAGCGTCTAATTCTATGGGTCGGTTGATGCATGAGTTATCAGAATAAATGGCCTTTAGTAATTCGCGGCCCTTCGTAGATGAGCAGACGCCTATAAAGTGAGTCTTTTTCCAAGTAAATTTGTGTCCAGTTTCCAGCATATGCATGGCAACCTGGGATAAGTGGTCTCGCCTTTTTACCGCCAACTGATGTTCGTGTATGCGTGTTGAGACGGCTTGTCCGGTTTGACCACAGTAAACCGCATTTCAGGTGTCGCATGGTATCTTATAGACGACCTCTTTCTTATCTAAAGAGCCAACCCTATCCTTAGAGTGTACAAGCTGGTTACGAAATGTGGTCGTCGGTTTGTGCGCCATGTGTAATTGGTGCTTCCTCAGGCGCCTCTCAACTAGTTCGAACACATTTCCAGATGTACAGAAGTGTTAGCCAGTTTTTAAATAAAAAATTGTATAAATAAATTAAAATAGCGCTCGAAATGAATGGATAGGAAAATGTCAATAAGGGTAATCTTGCAGCGAATCTGACGTGGCGCAGTCAGTAGATCCGCAGTCCGTCTGACCGCCATAGCGCGTACTTCAGCCCCAGCCTCAGTCAATGGTCTTTATGCAGCGCCCTTGCCACTGAGCCAGGGGCTCCTCGCCCTGTTGGTTGCGATTCTGCCTATATTATTGGTTGCTGTTCGGCTGCTGGCGGGGCACAACAAGACGACTATACCCCGTAACGCGATCGGTGAGCGTCTCTCTATCATCGTTAGTATACTCGATCGCAACCGACAGGACAACGAACGCACGACTTAGTGGTCAGGACGTTGGACTTCTAACCAACAGGTCGCAGGATTAAGCCGCTGGTGGTACAGAACCTGCTGACTGATGACGGTTGATGATACATGAATGACCGCTCCAGTCTACCTTGTATTTGTCGGTAACGTTACGCGCTGGAATGCTGCTACCGACAGGGATCGGGAGAGTAAGAGAGAGAGAGAGAGAGAGAGAGAGAGAAAGAGAGAGAGAGAGAGAGAGCTACAAGGCACAACGCGATCAGTGAGCGCCCCTCCATCGTTGTATATACCCGATCGCAACTACCAGGTCAACGAGCCCCTGGCTCAGTGGTTAGGAGAGTTCGGTTCCTGTGCATTGGCTGCACGAATAATCGATATCCTGTTATCTCTGACTCTCAAGGTGTGTCCACCGTGCTCGTGGACTTCTTTTCAGCCGAGATCGCAGTGCAAGCCTGGGAAACGCAAAAGATTGATAGTTGCAGCTTAGATACTTAGAACGGTGCGTAGATGGCTTGGTTGGAGTTTGGCATCCCTATAGTCCGTTACAATTACAGTGGGTGAGCTAACTCCGGCTTTCGAACAAACTTCTTTTTGGCTGTATCCAAAAACCAGACAACGTAAAAATGGCTACTTGAGTTGCATGCATTTTTCATTAATTTTCGATGCCCTTAGACATTCAATTATATTTCATGGAAAGCGTGCATAATAATATTAATCTTTTGCTCATTCAGGAGAAAATTACGTCTTCTTTTAAGTTTACACTCAAAGGAAAGGCGTAATTCGGTTTTTAAAAAGTTTCTTATTGTGAGATTTATTAATACCGTGAAATGGCACTTCATTAAACGTTACGTCTCTGCATTTACCAGTGTGACCTATAAAGTTAACAATGTGGCTCATATTCCCTGCTTAATTTTATGAACCCTATATAGTCCCCCTTTATTACTGTGGAGAAATATATGGTTTTCCCTACGCGGAAATTATGCGGCTTGTAGTTTGGGAACTCTGAATGCAAATGTAACGGCAGGTTGGGTCCAAAATTATTCGGGAATTGGAAAACTTTTATAAAACCAAATTATACTGTTCCTTCGAGTGTCAAATTAAAAGAAGACGTAATTTTCTACTGAATGAACAAAAGAAGGAATAGTTTTGTGCATGTTTTCTGTGAAATATAATTGAATCTTTAAGGGCATCGAAAATCAATTTAAACATGCATGCTACTTAAGTAGTAATTTTTTACGGAGTATAGTTCTTGTATGCAGCCAAAAAGGAGTTTGTTCGAGAGCCGGTGCCCTGGGGTAACTGAATTATTATAGAATTATACTGCACTATCATTGGTTTTGCAAGCCTGCTTAATTAATCTTTTCGAAGCGAAAACTCATTTCGGAATTTCTGTTAAGATTTCATGTATGTACTGTTTTCACTACCATCATCCTACAACTTGTGCATTTCCAACCATACAGGGCAAGATCCTGGTTCGTAGCCGCACCTGTTAGGGGTTCGTGTCAGGGATTAGGGGTTGGAGGTTAAGGATTAGGGGTTAGGGTTAGGAGTTAGGGGTTACGGTTAGGCGTTAGGAGTAAGTTTTAAACCCCCTATTACCACCGGGCCCGTATGAAATGTGGCTGGAGCTTGTCTACTGCAGGTGCGGCTACGAAATAAGATCCGACCTCATACAGTTAAGAGGTACGACCGGCCGATGACTCGGACACCACCTTTTGTCGATCGAAGTTACATCTAGAAGTGGCGGCGGAGACAAGGGAGACAGCGATGCCTATTGGTGGCTTATTAGCTGACGTCAGCCGGCCGCCTCTAAACCGGGTTGGGATAACCTGAGGTTGACACCCGGATTCTTTGTGTATTGAATGTTAAACTCAGTGTTTTACCACTGAACTACGGGCCCGTTGTCTGGCCGGTTGCGGTCGATAATACTCGCTATCGTGGGAAGATGAGGCTTTCGTCGGTCAGGTTGCGGTATATGCCCGTCCCGCTGGGCCTAGGGGCTCGAACTAGGGTCCTAGAGGCCTTCGCAATGATAGGAAAATGCCAATTAGTGTAATCTTGCAGCGAATCTGACGTGGCGCAGTCAGTTGATCCACAGTCCGTCTGACCGCCATAGCGCGCACTTCAACCCCAACCTTAGTCAGTGGTCTTTATGCAGCGCCCTTGCCACTGAGCCAGGGGCTCCTTGTCCTGTTGGTTGCGATTCTGCCTATATTATTGGTTGCTGTTCGGCTGCTGGCGGGGCACAACGCGATCGGTAAGCGCCTCTCTATCATCGTTAGTATACTCGATCGCAACCGACAGGACAACGAACGCACGACTGAGTGGTCAGGACGTTGGACTTCTAACCAACAGGTCGCGGGATTAAGCCGCAGGTGGTACAAAACCTGGTGACTGATGACGGTTGATGAAACATAAATGACCACTCCAGTTTCCTTTTTCTTTGTTGGTAACGTTGTATATACCCAATCGCAATTACCAGGTCAACGAGCTCCTGGCTCAGCACTTAGAACGTTCGGCTTCTAACCAGCATGCCTATTTTGCTCTGTGTTTTGGCTGTGCGAATAATCTATATCCTGTTATCTCTGACTCGCAGGGCGTGTCCATCGTAATTTTGGACTTCTTTTCAGCCGAGATCGCAGTGCAAGCCTGGGAAACGCAAAAGATTGATAGTTGCAGCTTAGATACTTAGAACGGTGCGTAGATGGCTTGGTTGGAGTTTGGCATCCCTATAGCCCGTTACAATTATGTACTGTCATCAGTAGCATCATCCTATAACTTGTGAATTTCCAACCATAGAGGGCAAGATCATATTTCGTAGCCGCACCTATTAGGAGTTAGGGGTAGGGGTTAGTGTCAGAGATTAGGGTTAGTGGTTGGGGGGTTAGGGGTTAGTGTTAAACTCCCTATTACCACCGGTCCCGTATGACAGGCGGCTGGGGCTTGTCTGCCGCATGTGCGGCTACGAAATAAGATCCGACCTCATACGGTTAGGAGGTACGACCGGCCGGTGACTCGGACACCTGTGCAGTCACTTTTTGTCGATCGAATTCACATCTAGAAGTGTCGGCAAAGACAAGGGAGACAGCGATGCCTATTGGTGGCTTATTAGCCGTCGTCAGTCGGCCGCCACTAAACCGGATTGGGATAACCTGGGGTTGGCACCCGGTTTCTTTGTAATATTGAATGTTAAACGCAGTGC